TTGGATCAGATATTTCATTGAACACCTTATAGGCATGTTTCTCGTCCAAAACCCACTTCCCAAACCAGTAGTCATGGAAATCATCCCCTGTCATGTTCAATCACAAGATTCTCCAAGTGTGACGGTTGCAAAGCTGAAAGACCAACATGTGGACAGAACTGGTTCGGGTTTACGCTTGATTTTGTGGTTGTTGTTGGTCGTGTTTGATGAACTGGTATAAACCCATATACATTTCTTAAAATCATTATATAAACAACAGAAAAAGAAGAAGAAGAAGTAATACACAAAGAAATCATGAACTCACCAGATTTTTGCTTTAAGACATTGTTCAAGCTTGTTTCGGCATCTGAAATCTTTTCTCTTCATGTAAACATCGACCGAATCATAGAAACCCTGGGACAAAGAGGTTGCAGGGACGACACAAAATCAGGGAAGCAGGTGATGTCTAAATCGGGAAAAATATGGAATAAGTGGAGCATGCACCATCAATAGATATCCCTTCATAACTTCGACTTACCGATGATGCTGATTATCCGGTTGATTATCCAGACTCGCCTTGGAAAACGACGTCAACGAACGTCAAGAGAAAGCACAAAGAAACCCTTGTGAGAGAGAAAGCAACAGTCGATTTGAAGCAGCCGACAAATGAAATTGAAAATTATGAGGCGTTGCACTCCTTTTTTTTGTTCGTGTCACCACACAGCTAACATAAAGAAATCGAGAACCCCCACGGGTTCGATTTATTCAAAATACGGGGATGGGTGTCCGAGGTATAGAAGAAATCGAGTAGAGCGATGGTGGCGGTGGAAGTGAATAAAAGAAAAGGCTTCAGGATAATACAGAATGTATCAACAGACATAGTCCATGGCGGTGGAGGTTCTTATTGGAAGAGAAGGGCGGAACCGAGTCCTATTGGAAGAGAAGGGCGGCACTGATTATATGTACAGACTAAATTTACAAAAGGTTGTGGCCAATGTCTAAAGCGGTTAAAGAAGAGGTGAAGAAAGCAAATGCAAAGAAACTTTGGTGGCAAAAATAGTAAAAGCAAAAAGGGACTGTAGACAAGGCTCCCCAGATTTAAGTGTATATATAATTATATATCAATAGAAATAAGACTTTGGCCACTCCTTAATGCAACTTAACAGAATCAAAGATCACAACATTTGTTCCCACTCAATATCATCAAGCCAATTCATGGAACAAACTATGGTCTTACTCTCGTGAAATTGTGTGTGACAAAACATGCTCAATCATCTTTGTTTCACAAAATATAACAATGACCGATTCCAGCTATTTGTTGATTAACAACAATCTTTTTCTAAAAAATATCTTCTAAAAATTCCTTAATATTTACCCAGATTGGTTACAAATTTCAAACCACTTACACCAGTCAAAGTAATTAACAGTCAGTCCCAATGTCATAAGTTCAAGTCCAAGTCCAAGGGAATCTTTTGGCAGCCAAGCATTTTTTCTAAACATATTATTCAATTAAACTATAAACAAATATGTACAAACATCCTAATTACATTTTTTTACAAACAAACAAAGCTCATGGCTTTCTTTGAAATCCATGTAACGGGCTTCCAACCAACACATCCAAATCAAATGACCTTAGTGTGCTAGATTTAAAAAGATCCCTCGGGTTTACTTGCCTGAACCTCAAAGGCCACATATTAGCTTTATTTGGTTATTAAGTTCATGACTTTCTATGAAACCCGTGTAGCGAACTTTCAACCCAAACAGTTTTGCTTTAGGCGATTAAGCGTAGAACACCCCTCGGAGTTTACTTATTCGAGTTCCAAAGGTCAGAGATTAACTTAATAACAATTTTTTTTTAAAATATAAAATAAGATAACACATAACACTCTTATTAATTTATATGCTAGGCCTATTTTTTTTTTTATATTCTCGTCTTTGACTTTTCTATTGTGGGACATCTCACGGTCTATTACCGTGAGGGCTTCTAGACATTTTTCGGTGGACTAAAATTAACATGCAAAGACTCGTAAGTATAATCGGAAACTGTGTCCTCAAGCAAGGTATATAAACGGGAATGAGTAGAAAAGACTTTTTAGAGCGCTGGAAGGCTCGGGACACTGAAATTTTGTATTCTTTTTGTGAATTTTTGAATTTGGCATTTTGAGTTCAATTGAGCATTTACTACTCATAAGACCAGTCATATATCCCAAAGAATTAACTCATACCTGCTGTTATGCTCCAATGTTGACAATCTTCTCACTTTCTGTTTTGCACAAGTAGCTTCGGGAGGTGTGTTCGTGTGCGATTAACTTGCTTTAAGATTTTTCAATAAAAAGAGCAAGCTAATCTCAAGGCACATGACTCACTTACCAGCTCAACTGTTTTGAAAAGATTCGGCTGCTTGGGATTGGATCAATTTTTTTTTAAACAAATGAATGCAATGCAAAAATTTAGATGCAAACAAAATGCAAAGAAAATAATAAAAATTAGAATAGAAAGAAAAATCTTTTTGGCTTTTGAAAAATTTTTCATGCAGAAAAATGAAAAAGAAAATGGAAATTAAAGCAATATGTACAAAATTACATGCAACCAACATGCAACGGGATTTATGCATGGATGGATGCCCCTCCCCAAGCTTAAAATAAGCATCGTCCTCGATGCTTGGAGAGAGGCGTAGCCGGCCTATTGAGGACCGGGCGGTGGAGGATATGGTGGGAACTATGAAGGATAATCGGAAGGATAAAATGGAGGCCACTGGGGTTGGGATGATGATGGAAGCTGCTGCTGCTGGGTGGGAAGCACAAGTACTCGGTGGATATCGCTCATCAAATGATGAACATTGCGGTTATGCTGCTCTTGAGCCACCCATCGCTGATCCTGCTCTGCCCATCGCAGCTCTTGATGGGCCCAACGCTCTTCTTGAAGGTTTCGGTAGTCATGAAATTCAGAAGTGATTTCAGCAACTCCCGTATAAACCTCTCCTACTTCCTGCTGGAGGCTCGTGTAATGATGATCTAAGCGTGCAAACTCGCCCATGTAAAGGTTGTGTTCGGGAAAAGGAATGGGGCGAGACGAGCTGGAAGCACCCGCAGTTGCAGGTTGAGCAGGAGGAGTAGAAGTGGTGGTTGAAGGTCTACGGGTAGCAGTAACACCCAAGTTGGATTGGAGGTGCCAATTGGTAGAAGGGATGTCATTGGCCAAGACTAATATCTTCTTATTTTGGTTATCGACGCGTAAATATTATTTACCATCGACTGTCCAATGAACATCCCCATTGGGATGGCGGTGAAAGAGATGCATGATTTCCAAAACCTCAAGTGATAAACGAGTACGGCCCGGAATTATATTGGTTGGATTGTTGGGTAGATGGAGGCCAAGATGCTCAGCTATAATAGATACCATGCCTCCACAATGTAGCTGGCCACCATTGCTCATGGCATTTCTGAGCATTTTCTGAACTACCCAACACCCAAAATGAGGGACCTCCTCGGGCTTGTTAATCATGCACCACAAAACTTCTAATTCTTTTTTGTTCGCCTTGCTAATCTCTTTTTGAGGAAATAAGAGAGAAGCAATAATCCGGTGGGTGACCTTCAGAACCGGATGAATAATACTAGAAGCTTTTGTTATGCCTGACTGAAACTCATCTTCACAAGAGATACTTCTCCAAAACCTTCCACAGTCTTGCTCAAATACAACATTTTTTCTGCCCTTTGCTGTATATATATCCCTTTTTGCTTTAGGAGCACCAATGATATCACAAAGGGTGTCAACATGTATTTGATGAGATTGATTGAGCAAATGGAAGGTGAGGATATGTGTCTGGTAATCAAAGGCAATTGAGGACAAGAGTTCCAACATTGGTGTTTGATAACTGACTGCATGTAGATTCAATAACCCTTCCCAACCAATGTTCTTGAAGAGCTTGTGGACACCTTTATAGATATGAAGGTCCTTGAGGGCTTGGATGTCCACAAATTTTTGAGCCCCCATTACTCTTCTAATAAGGCTTGCATACAAAATGTTTTGTTGATTGGTCTAAAAAATAAGACCAAATTCATATGGGTTTTCCATGGGATGTTGGTCTTGTTCATCATTAGACTCTTGACCACCCATATGTGAGGTCCCAATTCTAGCCCTTTTTCCACGGGAGGCCATTGTCAAATTGGATTCAACAAAGCTTTGCACACAATGTAGGGCGATTTAAACTTAAGAGTATGCACAAAACCAGCAATATCACCAAAATCACCCCAAAATCTAAGTATATACACAAGTAAAGAGTTGGAACAATTATACCAATTTATGCTTGAAAATGGTGGTAGGGTGATGTCCAATGCTTCCCCAAGCTTTCCCCAAGCTTATCCTACAAGAAATTTCAAGCATTAGGTCGAGATTTGAATACCCAAAAATTCTAGGGTTTGCTCAAAAACCCCCAAAATCGGTCATGAGAGGGTGAATTTGAGATGCAAGACAAAGAAGATGAAGAAAAGAGAAGAATTTCATACCTTGGAGCTTGATTTTTGATGCAAAATTGAGGAAGATTGAATGTTTTTGAGGGTTTTTTCGAAGGAGGCAGTAGGGAGGAGAAGAATCGCAGGTTATGTGAAAAGAATGAGTTAAAAAAATCGAGTTTTAGGCTTAAAATCGTCCAACTCTGTTTTTACGTTTACACGGCCCGTGTAAACTAAAGGGTAGCATTTACACGGCCATGTAAACGCTGCGTCTGATCTATGCTGGTCTGGTCGTTTACACGGCTCGTGTAAACTCAAGGCTTACATTTACACGGCCGTGTAAACTTCTGTAAAGGCCAAAAAAATTGATTTTTTTCACTTTTTGGAATTGCAATTCGTCAATCCTCTACTGCCCGAAAATGATTTTTTACCCTCTTTAAACATGAGAAACAACTTGGGAACTTGGAAACAAAGAAAATATGATGTAAAAACAAGAAATGACAAAAATACCCCCGGGTTGCCTCCCGGTTAGCCGCCCCTTTTTAATGTCGTTGGCTCGACTTTGCCCCCTTAATGTGCTTCAGTCTTGATATGTGGGCCTCTCCAACACATCAACCTCCTCGCCACCTCCTTCTTGACATGTATATTCTTTAAGGGATCCGGTGGAGTTTTTGCTCCTGAATCTTGTGCTTGTTCCACCGGTGGAAGGATTTTGACTTTGGTGGATGGCTTGGGTTTTATATCATCACTCCTCACATGCTTCTTGTCATCAATAAACTCTAAAATCTCCAACACCTCATTATCCATATCAAACTTCTTTGCAAGCTCTTTGGCTTTGTCACTGTCTAGTTTTCGTGACAAAACTAACTCTAGAAATTCATTGTTAGACAAGTTCAAACCCTTTTTAGTTGAGGGCTGGATCAAATTGACAAAATTAACAGATTGAACATCAGAAGGAACCTTTTTTGCTTCATGAACATTGAAGTTGATAACTTCACCATCAAATTCCATACTCAAAGTTCCATTGTAGACATCAATTTTTGTTTTAGAAGTTTTAAGAAAATGTCTACCCAAAAGTATGGAACTTGAACTTGGAGAGTCATCATCTCCCATATCTAAGACATAAAAATCAGCCGGGAAGACAAATTCATCGACTTGCACTAACACGTCCTCTAATACTCCCTTTGGGTGTACCAAAGACCGGTCAGCAAGTTGGATGATCACACCGGTTTTGCTCAATGTTCCTACACCAATTGATTTGAAAAGAGAATATGGTAGGACATTTACGGATGCACCTAGATCAAGCATAGCTCGGGGTACATAAAGATTCCCCAATTTGCAAGGCACGGTAAAGACACCGGGATCCTTGCACTTCGGGGGCATCCTCTTTTGCAAAACTGCGGATACATGTTCCCCAACTGTTACGACTTGATTTCCTTTTAATTTCTTTTTAGATACACAAAGATCCTTAAGGAACCTTGCATATCTAGGTACCTACTTGATGGCCTCGAGGAGTGGAATGTTGATTTGAACTCTCTTGAACATTTGCATGATCTCACTCTCCTCCCGTTCTTTCTTCGTGCTCTTTAATCTTTCAGGAAATGGAGCAGGTGTGGCTTTAGACTCAGTGATGAAGGGCTTCTTTTCGATTGTTTTCTCTTCCTCCTTCTCTTCTTTGGTTGCCTCTTCGACCACTATTTCTTCTTCCTTTTGATCAACCGACACTTTTGGACCATCATAGCTCTTTCCACCTCTCAATGTGATGGCACACACGTTGTGCCTTGGGTTTGTTTCAGTTTGTGCAGGTAACTTTCCTTGAGATTCTAGTTTGCTTACGGAAGTGGCAAGCTGTGAAACTTGTTTCTCTAAGTTCTTTATGCTTGCTTTTGTCTCTTGTTGGAAAGCTTGTGTACTAGTTGCCAAACTCTTCACTATGTCCTCTAAGGACATACTTGATGAACCCGATTGTTGAGGAGGGTGTTGTGGCTGCCTTGGCTGAAAGTTTTGTGGTGGAAAAGGTGGTCTTTGTTGGTATTGATGTGGTTGACTTGGTTGATAATTTTCCTGTTGATGTCCTCCCCAACCTTGATTGTTACTCCATCTTTGATTACCCCGTGGCTGCTCATATCCCCTTTGATTAGACCCAAGAAAACCTACCATGGATTTTGCTTCTTCATAATCTTCCTCTTGAAGTTGAAGGCACATGTCAGTTGGATGCCCCACTTGAGTACAAATACCGCATGGGCGGGGTGTGGGCTGCACACCTTTGTCTTTGGCTAGCATCATAACCACTTTCATAAGCTCGGATGTTGATGACCGGGGGATTGGATGATGAAGAAGTACCGGAAACCGGTTGCCTCTTACGAAGCTTGGCTTGCTTCCTTAACTTCTTTGCAGTCTTCTCTATCTCTGAGTCAATTGGAAATGGTGTACCTGTACGGAAAGATCTAGGCATAAACAATTAGTAACACCGTGTCCCCGGCAACGGCGCCAATTTGTTAGGCTTGTCAAACCCAACAAATAAAGGGGTACGATATACTCCAAAAGAATCCCACTATATTGCACTAAAAGGTATTACAAGGCAAGCAGGGTCGATCCACAGAGACACGGGATAATTAGTCTATACCTCTTTGCACAAGGTACTATGGTCACCAATAGTAAAGAGAGGGGGTTTAGAATGTTATGATTAAACAAACAACTAAAAACATAAGTAATCAACTAAATGCGTGAATTAAATTCAGAATTTGTGAGGACTCCAACTCTATGTATGACAACTTAGTAATGCGATTCCAAGATAACATGATATTTGCTCAATTCTATCTAAGTTGGTACTTGAAAGTGTCAACAAGCTCTAACACTTCCCATTCACCACATTAATTAACCAAAACAAGCTCTTTGATTAACCCTAACCTTACTAACCTAATATAAACAAGCTCTTAGAATTAGATTGAAAGATTGCATTAAACTTTATGTGAATGTTCCCAACAACACCCAATACTCCTCACAAGCTCGGGAGCGTAAGAGTGTGTGAATAAGATTTACACTAAATTCATTCAATAGAAATCAAATTAGTGCTTGTTACCTAGTCCAATTTACAAAACAATTACGGATTTTGCAATTAGATAACTTGAATGATCTAACCCTAATTCAAATGGCCAATAAGAATCACAATTAGAATCAAACATTCGATTGAGACAAAATCAAATTCACTAGATAGAAAATTGAAAGTAAACATCAAGTCATATGATTGAAATCACATCCAAATGTCAATACATAAAGTTGGAGAATTAGGTTTCTAGCCACTCATGACTAGAACAAACACAAACCTAGAAATTGAAATTAAAGTCTTACAAATTAAAATCCAAGTGTTTTCAAGCAACAATTGTCTTCAAAAAGCTCCCAAAATCGCCTCCTCGAACTCCCCAAAATGATCCCCCCCTTTTGGAACCAGTTACCTTCTTTAATTTAGAATAAAACTGTTTTAAAAACAAAACTGTTTTAAAAACTGGCGACACGTTTACACGGCCCGTGTAAACTATAACTGACCATTTACACGGCCGTGTAAATACAAAAAAGTAAATTGCTCAAATCTGTCAGGCCTTCGAAGTACATTGCTCACGAGTATGCGTTTACACGGCCCGTGTAAACTATAGGCTTCCATTTACACGGCCGTGTAAACTCCTGTAAAGCCAAAATCTTCATTTTCTCCATAACTTCCTCCTCGATGCTCCAATTGTCCCGAAACTTTGTCCATATCTCCTCTTCATCACCTCAACTAAGATTCTTCCTTCAAAAGTCCCTGAAATATCATAAAAGTGTGAATGGAATTGCATCATGAAAAATCCCGAAAAATATGCAAAATGCATGAGTTTAAATCTAAATGCAATGCACTTTTATGGATTAAAACTACAAAATGCATGCATGAAATGCGTCTAACAATATCTGACTATGTGTATGTATATGTGTGGTGTTTATGTTGTATGTCTGTTATTTGTTTATGTTATGTGTGTAAGGTGAACATCAATTGAAGAAATGTCAAATGCGTACGACCAACTTGAACATCAATTTTATTTTTTTATTTTTTTATTTTTTTTATTTTTTTTAAATAAGATGTTTACTTCCGGCATTTGAATGAAAAAAATTATCATACCACCGTAATCCTAGACTTCTATTTCTCCTCGTAAGATGTAATTAAATATTAAAATGGTTGGTTGGTGCTTGGTAATCATGAATTTAGTATGATAGTATTAAGTTTGTTGGTGTTATTACTATATTTTTTTTTCTAACTTTTTATTGGTCGTGCGTTTTTTATGTATTACATCGGATTGTCAAAGAGTTTATCTGATGTTCATATCAATTATGATGCATCTTGTACTCTCCAATAAATTGATTTAGCGTTGAAAGAGACCAATTTTATAAGAGTGCTGATGGGCCAATTTAACTAATTGTTGTAAAAGCAAGTGAAGAAAATTTGAACATTTTTTATTGTATATTTGTGGCCCATGTTTATTTTGGAATTACTAAATGGATTGAATTTAGTTAATCTTTGTTAAATTGGTTATGTTTGTGAATGAAAAAAAAAAACACATGAAGTGCTGGCTATTAGTATTTAGTAATATAGCGAATAACCATTGGAATGACAATTATGTGAATTAGAAAAAACTAACGATTTAAGATATTAATTAAAAGCAATGGTGATAGATTTACCAACAAAACATCCATTATTGTATATATATGTTTATAGGTAGATTATGCTCTGATTAAGCGAATATATAGGGGACGCTAATATGTTCGATGGTCCAAGCAAACCACATACACAACTACACAAGCATCTAGAAAGCGCAAGTTAACTAATAAACAAAGGGGAAAATAATACATCGATTATGAGGGTAATCGTCGAATTTTTGGTGATACCATTTTTGTGTTTCCATTGCTGCGAAAACAAGATTTGCCACCTGTAAAATAACAGATTGATCGGGTGAAATATTTAAATTTAAATACTTGAATAGTTGAATTCGGGTGCGAGGGGAATGTAAAAGATATACCACAAATGCAAAAAGCAACCACAAAGAGAGATCTGAACCCCCACTAGCCACCACAAGACCACCATATATCACCTTCATCATTAATATCAAACGCTTGTAATTTGAACCTCCTTTACGTTGGAAAACGGAGGTTATAGAACATGTACACATGAGATACTTACAATTTCAGCCGTATAGTGCGGAGACGAGACGTATTCAAACCAATCGCCATTCGGAATAACATACTCCTCCAGCTTTTTGGTTTTGTCTCGCAAGGAACCCTAATTATCACAATGTTAAAACAACAAGGAGAAAGTATACAACTTTTCTTCAAAATGGAAAAAACGTACAAGGATTTGATGACAGCGAAGCTGATGTACCCAACCCCATAAGAAAATAGCAGCACCTATCCACGCATACCATGGAAGCCTCAAGAAAAGAGTCACAAACATCCATATATTATCAAATCCAGGCCTTGACATGCCAACTCTTCCGCTGACAAAGTCAAAGACTTGAGGTGCAAAATTACAGCATAGGGACAGTGGAGCTAGTACATAGTATCTGATTTATAAAAAAGGTAATTAACTTGAATATATCAGCAAAAGAATCTTGAGAATCGGGAATAACATACATAGCTGTTGCAGATATGTGAGACTTACAATAAGCCCAGAAGATAACCTAAGATGTGCATTCGAGCTGATGGACTGTAGTTAAAAACATAGATTGACTCATAGAAGCGTCGCAAAACTTGAACTTCCATTAGCAGAAGGAGAAATACAGCTTGAGATAGCCAAACATTGTATACATGTTCTCTCATTGCATAAGACCACAAAGAAACAAGCAAGATTGTCGTCCATAAAACCCCCACCACATAAAAGTGAAAGAAGAAACTCTGAGGCACAGTTAGTTTCTGAAATGCATAAAAAAAGAAAATCATAATTAGGATGAAAATATATTTTATTACTATGAATAGAATTGCTGTATGTGACTATTATATTCACTTACAGATTTGGATTGCAATATCTTGCCTCTTTTGATAATTCCCAACAGAGCTGTGCGAAACCAACCAAGCCCAGGCAATGGAAAACAGGCTACAGCAATTGGCAAAGTAGCAAAGATCCATGCTGCTCGTATGAATGATACGATCCCCAGCCCCACTTCTTCCATTTCTTTAATTACACGAAAATGGGAAAAAAAAGAATCTTGAATTGGCGTGCACAAGGAGTAAGTGAGCGGAAAGATAAGATCTAATCCATTGAAGATTATATTAATTAAAGAATGCAAAACCCTCCGTTTTGAATAGAAAGTTTCGTTTGGCACTATAAGCTTCTAGTGTTTAATTTGAACAAAGTGTTCCAAATCCAAAAGATACATCACATAGCTTTTAACAAAACTCTACCAACTACAAACTACCCGTTCGTTTTGCTGAACAAGCCCACAAAAGAGAGTTTCTAGTTCCTTTACAAACATATAAATCTAATAGAATAAACTGCAAATATGCTCCTGTTTGTCAAATTTTGGCCGGGTTCAAGCTGCTAAAATACAATTTTGCACAAAGTACTCTTATTGACATGTTTCATGGTGATGGCGGTTGTGGTGGTGGGGAAGTCGGCGGATGAAAAAGAAACAGGTGGCGCTACATAATCATTTATGATTATAAACTCTCTGGCCGTACCGATACGCCGAAGGGTTAGAACGGAAAATAAAAACTATGTAGTTGATGTTGAATTCCAAGATTCATCTTTTATATATATATATATATATATATATATATATATATATATATATTACAAAATGATTATAAAAATTATTGTCTAAAATTTGTTTTCATAAAAACCTCTTACAAAATACTTTTGAGATAAAGTTATGTTGAAAAGACGATTTTATAAATAACGCTGTTATTGAAAGAAACGTTCCATAGAAATAAGTGAATAACATTTTAAACATTTGTGACGTGTGTGTGAAAAAAGATGGTGGGGGTTTATATGATTTGATGAAAACAAGCCATTTTGAAAAAAAAAAAAAAAAAAAAAAAAAAGAACCTCACTACAAGAAAACAAGGCATTAACAGAGACAAATATTGTTGTTAAAACTACATATTTTCGCCGGTAAAAGTAATAACGGTGAAGCATTGTCGGTATTTGTCCATCGTTATTGCTCTAATATGTTGGCATTAAAGATCATAGTCGCCGCTAATAACATTGTCACCGGTAATACATATAACGTCGGTAATAGTATCTATCGCCGATAATATTATTTTTTATTTTCTTTTTAAAAATTGACATTTACGGGTGCAAAAAAATCGATATGTGACAACATTAAATATTGAAAACACGAAAACATTAAATACAAAAAAAAAAAATTAAATAACGACATCCAAGTAAGTACTAAAGTGTTATAATTATACATACAATTAATTATAAGTGTGCTTATGAACAGTACCCCCAAGCCAGGGTACCGTTCATCGGCTCAGGCTTAACTTTGGCGCCGCCCACATTTGCCCCTCCACCACCTCCCTCTATTCTTCCAAAACCCACCGATTGATCATGTAACATTCGTGATTTGGTAAGTTTCCTTTTAGCCCCTTTAATGCAAATTGTTAACATTTTGGTCCCTAGCTAGTACGCTTAGCGTACTAGCCCATTAGCTGATCGCGGGTTTCACCCACGTACGCGGGGCGTACGTGGTGCAGGGGCAAACCCAAAAAATTAAGGTTTGCATCCTATTTAAACAACTTATCTCACTCTTGGACACTCTATTAATCATCCTCCGTCACCTTATGCCCTAAAAACGAAACCCTAAGTGCCTCTTGTGAGTTTTGAGCTTGTAAGTGAGATTTTGGTGGTGTTTTAGTAAAAGAAGAACAAGAAGAACTCTTGGTGGTTGCTTGGGAGTAGCTTGGGCTTGTAGATCCAGCTTCATCATCATCATCGCAAGCCATTTGTCATATAAAGTTCTCTACTTGATGGTTCATTATGCTAGATCTAGTTTTGGGACTTTGTTTATGCAATTTTGGGTCTTTGAGCTAAAGCTGAGCTTTTGATCTTCTCCAGAAGCCATGAATGTTAGATCTTAGCTCAATGGAGGTCCCTTGTTCATAAAAATGCAAACTTTATGAAAGATATTGGTCCATGCAAGTGTTAAGAGCTTTATTAAACTTCTTTTTTAGTGTTGGGTCTCATTAAGTCATGCATGAGTGTAAAGTTGCCAACTTTACATATTAAGTCACCTTTTAGGACCAGATCTGAAAGTTTAGCAAGAGGTCTAAACTGATTAAGTGGTTAATGGAGTGGATTGGTAGTTTGGGGACTACGTTGTGCGTACGAGCTGAGTACGCCCCGCGTACTCAGTAGATGGACTCTTGTGCTTGACGTTCTCAGAATTGGACCATGCTTTGGACTTTTAAGGTCCGGCCTTGTTGGGCCATTAGACTTCTGATTTTGGGCTTTTGCTAGTATATTGGGCTCTCTTGGATTTAGGCTCATGATGGGTTTTGGGCCCAATTTGGAAGATTGGGCCATATTGGGCTTTGGGTTGGCATTTAGGAATTTGGGCTTTTTAGTAGTTAGGTTGGGCCTTGGTTTTGGATCAAGTAAGAAAAAGGATAATGTGACATCCCCAAATTTACGGTCATTTTAAAAATTTTATTTATGCTTATTTTAAAATTAGAGTATTCATTTTAAAGAATAATATTGCGGAATTTGTTCCCAGAAAACATGATAAATATATTATCAAAGCATTTCCGAAGAAATGTAATTTTTTTATATTGATACTTTCGGATGTCATCGTCAATACAGAAACATAAGGATAAACAGACCTTACATTCATTTACACTAGTGATTTACATATCTTTTAATCTCTCAGTGTAATGTAGCTTTGTATCGACACCTGTGATACAAATAAACTGAGAGGGTAAGGTTGGGAAACCTGGTGAGTACATAGCGTTTTCAACCCACAATAGTAAAGTTATTATGTTTCATCATCAAACAATTAACCCAATTACCCATCCCCATTATCTTCTTTATTCTTAAGGATCTACCCTAAGAATCATATATTCTTCATGTACTCATTTCTAAGGAACAGGCACGAAGTCCATCGCTTCCAATGGCACAGCTGCCAATGTTATCTATTAGGCACAGCTGCCAATACTATCATTTAGGCGCAGCTGTCAGGATTATGATATTATCTATTAGGCGCAGCTGCCGATATTATCCTTTAGGCGCAGCTGCTAGGATGTTTAGAGTACATCGTAGTTCAAAACATCTACAGGTTGTGGCGCAGCTGTCAATATTATCATTTATAGGGCACTAAGTCCATAGTTGTCAATGTCCATCTATATCATCTTTCATCCCTCATGTATATCCGGTTCACATCCAGCATAGATATCAAGAACACAAATAACATGAACACATAGCACATAATTTATATTAAATACTTCATATCTATGTGTAAGATGAAAGTAACTATGCACTCAATTGTTAAAGTGGTGACTCGAAATTTGGATAGCGCTTCGCTTCTAACAATCGTCTTTTCCTTCGACGAAACCTAGTATCATTACCGCTAGATTTTAGTCTAATATTTATTGCGACTATTTACGAGCGATATTGTTTTGTAAGTGTTAAACAATACTTTTCAACCACTATGTACAAACAAGGGCTAGACATGAAACACCAGAGGGCATGACCCAGTGGCGGAGCTAGATGGGGCGTTGGGGGTAGTACAGCATCCCCAAAAAATTATTTTATGTATATAAAAAAATTTATTTGTAAACATGTTCTATGTTATTGTACCCCCATCTTAAGATATTGTACCATGTTTTTTAATGTCCGTGATATGATAACTACATAGAATGTATATATTGATAATGTTTGTACCCCCGTATCAAAATTCCTAGCTCCGCTACTGGCATGACCATTTTGGCATTATAGCATTTCTGAAATCCAACAACCCTATACGGCCCTTCAAACCAGATTTCCCGTACCGCGAGTAGTTAAAAGATATTATAATAACACTTTGTATATTATATTTTATAATATATTTATTGTTTATAAGTTCATAATAACGATAATAAAATTAAACATAAGTTATACTTAAAGTAGGGTAAGCATAACTCACTTACTAGGAGGTTTGGCTAGGAACCGGGCTCTACGGGGGCAGAACTTATGAGCCGAAAGCTCTCCTTCTCGGAGCTTTCTGGCACTCCAGGACTCGCCTTTTAGCACTTGGGAAGTACTAAAGGTTGGGAGGGGTTTAGAGAGACGTTTGAGAGAGTGAAAGAATGGGAAATGTGTGAGTTTTTGGGGTGATTTGTGCCTCTATTTATAGGCTGAGTCCGGTTCGAATGCGAGGCATTCCCTTGCCGAACGTGGGGCGCTCGTGGCCAAGTGTCACCATCTGTTGCCAAGTCGTGGTGAGGAAGAAGTGGCTCAGATCGCGCCATGTGTCGCCTCCTGGTTATTCCAAAAACTAATTATCTTTTAAAATCCGCAACTTTTGCATACAAGCTCCGTTTTTGATGTTCTTTGTATCCACGCGTAGATATTGACAAGATCTACAACTCTCCTTTTGACTCTATCGGCTAATTCTTGACCAATTTTAAATTTAACAGTACGGGAAGATTATACTATTAACGACCGTGTAAAATTCATAACTTCTACATACGGACTCCGTTTTCGTCTGTATTTTTATTGTTGAACTCCTATTAATGAGATCTTCAATTCTCACTTAGGTTGTGTTGGCTAAAAATTGACCGATCTAAAATTCGATTTTTGGGCTATGCAATGTTATGCAAAATCTTAGAAAAATCATAACTTCCTCATACGAAGTCAGATTTGGACGTTCCTTTTATGTATGTTATGGGTTTAACGTATACTACGACTTTTGTTTAGATTGCAAAGGCTAAAAAGTAGTTTATGAAAAAATCACTTTTTACGTTTCGCGTGTCGTGCCGGTTTAGCCGTAAAAATTCGACGGGTCATAACTTCTTCGTTATAACTCGGATTTCAGCGTTCTTTATATGTACGGAACCCTTGTGACATATATTATAACTTGATTAAGATTATCTATTCTAAATAATATTTCATCAAAAATTCATTCTTGACGCTTATTGTCTCTAAATTGACTAGCCCGAATCTGCGGGCGTTACAGGTAAAATGGTCTTTTACCCTGGATATGGGTCAAGTAGCTTAGATTCTTGATTACGGGTCGAGATCCAATTATTAATTGGATATTATTTGA